ATGTGAAGAATTCCTCGAATAAAAAAAAAAAATCATTAAAGGCTGAGTAATACAATGTCTTAATATGTTATCTTATTTCAGAAATAAAAAACTTTAAAATTGCAGGTATTTTTTTTTTTAGGAGTTTTGTTAATCACGATTAAATTTGTGTCATTAAAGTGTACACAATAAGTTTAAGTAAGTAAAGCAGTAAGTTCATATTATGTTTATGACTGTATGAAAGGTATGAATGTCAGAATGTGTATCGTAAAGTGCAATGTACATATTAGTACAATAATGTAGTAGGTACCTAGTATATAGCCTCTTATGTAGCAAAGTTAAATTATTATATCCCATAGGTGTTGCAGTAAATAGTTGCCTAAACTTCTTTACCTAATTAAATATGCTTGTATACATACATGTTCAATGATTAAATAAATATTTTCACATGGATAAGACGTCACTAAATTATACCCTTTTTATTATACTAAATTATAGACCAAGCAATGCCAATTTTTCTACTGATTCAGATAGACTATTTTTTTTTTTTATAATAGTTTTTCTATAAAAAATTTCTTCTTTAACCATTATTTACAAAGTTAAAGAAAGTTGAATTTACGAATAATCTGTTTTTAACACTTCTTTGTTTAATTCGTAATTTACTCTAATTGTACTCGTATTATATATATAGTCGTATGATAAAATCTTGAAAGACAAAATAAAAATAATTTAAAGTACCTACCTAATGAAAATCATATTGTTATATAAATGAACTCGTTACAGATTTGTTTGCTTAGATTTTGTTATTTAATTAACATTCGTGTTTAATTAGGTCTTTTCTGTGTATAAATAATAATATAACGATATCGGAGATTCCTTGGGTATAAAATTAACATGGTAATAAGATATCGTAAACCACTGGATTATTCGTACAATTAAACTCACTCCAACTTTGTCAATTTATTATACCTAGATAATAGAAAAAACTTTCCATACAAAATATTTAGAAAAAACCGTTGGGATATACAGAAAAAATTGAGTTGAAAAGCACATCAACGTACACCGAAAGGGTTAAAAATTAGACATTTTCGTAAAATTGTGAATTTGGTATTTATTCAAACCACATCCGGCTTCAATATTTATAGTGGTACCTATTATCTTGAACACTGAACATCAATCAATTTTATGGACCTCTTCTAGAAAACTTTGATGCAGTAACATGTTTAATACAATATTGTGCGTACGGACAAACCAACAGTGCGTCCTTAACTTACAGTTGATTGATTTATTAGAACTGTCAAAATATTATACTTCTATAAATAAAGCAATTAAAGTCGCTTTAATATTACCAACCACTTCAAGTTCAGTTGGAAGAACTTGCTGGTAATTATCTCTGAATATTCAGTGTAAACTTTTTCCATTGATAATTAATCAATTTTCGAAGTACGAATTAAATCTGTTTTTACACCGTTTAAAACATGTGGCTGAGCGCCTAAACAGCTTGGCCATTTTAAATACATAGGTATAAGGTATATTGTAGGTACCTGTTGCGTACACGAGTAATGTTATATTTATATAATTGGGAATATTGTAAGTTATAACTATTATCTGTATACTGTACAGTATTATTTAATAGTAGATAATATACGTCCGACACAGCGGTCGTCGGTGACAAGCAATCGACCGTTGTTCAGTCGAAGAGTCGCAGTAAAACCGTACCTATGTAAGTACGCGTCGTAGCCGCTCGATAAGTGAACTAACAAATAAAATTAATATTAATATTAAGCAAGTTTTATTATTTTAAAAACTTAAAACCCTGAGCTAGCGTATTCAGTAAATATATGTAAATAAAAACCAATCTGAAGTTTTGAAGATACCATTGATAATTTTGGGTGAAACACCAGACGTTTATCACTACCTATTATTTAATATTAATTTATTTCAATACAATATGTACCTTAATATGTTGTAAAATTTATATAGATGAACAAAATAAATTATTAACCTCAACCTGCAGGACGTAAAAAGAAATCCCATTGCTCTACAAATTGTTTTTAGCCTTATCAACATTATATCTTTAAAAGGTTGTTACATATTTCATTATCCTCATTGCAATAGTGTTCGGTATAGGTATAGGTAGGTACTTGCTAATTATAGTATAATTTATACTAGTGTTAGGGTGTAATGTTTAAATTGTATTTGCATGTTGCACCCACTGAACTCATTTTCTGCTGGTGTCCCAGCTGTTATTGTTGTATTACATTATAATAATCTATTATTATTGTATTTATAATAACTGAATAGGTATATTAATATTTATGATATACAATATACTCGCCCAACTAAAACACAAATCTGACTTGTGTTCAAATAAAATAAATGTTTAGTTTAAATTGTTTTGCTAAACGCCTATACCAGACACGTATTATATACCCATATACATATAGGTAGGTAACCTATGATTTACAATTCAGCTGTATAGGTAATGATGGTATTGGTAAAATATAGTAGGTACTAAATACGTATAATTATAGCTGATGGTATAATAACGTGTAAGTTCACGAATGTGAGTATAAAATTACAAATTGAATTAACTATGTATAATGGAATTAAAAGGTGGCCTAACCGTAACACGATACCAATATTCGTTAATGCACAAAAAAATAATGAGCCATATATGTGTGTGTGCTGCAGGGTGGTTGAGTGAAAATGTGTGTCGCATTGTAAAATGGTTAGCGTCACCACAGATTACAATACCTATACATATAGAACGGAGGTAGGTATATTGACAAATTGACATAATGACATATTGCTATAAAAATCCATCCTGCTATGTATATTGTGAGTATTTATGGCGTAAGTTAAAAAAATAACATTTTAATGGCAAAAATATTATTGATAATATGTGATGAAGAAAAGAAAAAATCAGTGGTTTGACTTTATCGTTCAGTATTGATAATATTATTCTTATGACCTTTTCAAATATTTACAATTTGAGTTTTTAGAATAAGAATTTTTAATTTTTAGCATAACTCCATAACGTGTAACAATATAATAGTATATCAGAGTATATTATATTTATAATAAGTAATAACTATCAGTTTAATAAATTACATTTTTCAGGAAATTATGTGCTTTAAGTTTGAACAGTTTTGTGTTTTTAGCCTATACACAGCGCTATCTATAGATAAAGAAATGAGAATTGAACTCGGTTGAAATTTTAAAAGCACATATTTCCCTGTAACCGATCACTAATTTTTATACAATTGCGACAAATTACTTGCATGGCTACTAGTTATACCAAAATGTAAGTTATTTGGTTGAAATTCTGGATTCAGTAGGTACCTACCTGGGGCTACCTATCAGTTACCATCAACAAAGTATAATAAGTTACCTATATGGCTATTTAACAAGGGTGGCCAAACCGCGGTTCAACATTTTTACTAAAATGTATAATAATAATAATAATAGGTATTATTTCTTTTCCTGCTCTTATCACTATATTTTTCATTATATCGCTCACCTGTTTCAACGATGTCGCAAAGGCTTTTTGTCGGGTACATGGCATGCCTTTTAAATCAAGTTCTACCTTAATCGTTATCCGTCGTCCGATATCGCTCCTGTCTATTTCAGCCACTTCTACGAAACAAGCCGTGTAGTTAAGTCCCCAGGGCGTAATTACAGCATCACTCTTGTTCATCATTTTTTTTATAGCGAATCGACCTATACATACTTCTCCTTATACCTTTGTCGCTGAATATATGCTGACGATAAGGCAACAATTCTCTCAGTACTGGAAAATCCAATCATCGCGTCTAATCATCTCCAAACTAGTCGTTCTCATATTCCTCAAACCTGCAGCTAATATTGTGTCAAAACTGGAAAGCACCTAAAAACCAATAAAAGCAAATCCAGCTGCTGCCACGTCACATTTGTTCTCAAACACGATTTTTGTCCTCGAATTACATATTTAACACCATATTCTTATTTTCAACCTCGCTTACTACAAAATAGTAAATCTCTTTGGTGAAAAAAAATTGATCTATACTCCAATCATAATTATGTTCATAATATGCGCATCACCAAACTTAATTCCCGTCTTTAAATTCTCTTAAATATTTCCTAAGCTCAAAATTAAATATTTCACTCCAAACCGAACTTCTAGAAAAACTCTACAATAACTAATTTTTATGCACTCCGTAAATACCTAAATTATAAATAGTAAACTCAAATCAAATTTTGTCCTTCAATAACAAAGACCCCCTTCTACATCTCAAATAAAACACTACACACACATCTAAAAATGGACACTGTATTAGAAACTAATATTATCATTTTACCACACAGCACACGTTACCATACAAATTATTCTCCGATCACCTAAGACTTACCTACCTATTATTCAAGGAAAAAATCATTTGAAAATGTCAAGGGCGCGGACCCGAAGTCGATGGAAGAAAGAATCAAAGCGAACTACCGACGGCGATCGACCAATATTGGTCGTAGGAACAAATATTTTTTGGAATAAATAAGCGTTGGGAACTTGGGAACAATTAATGTTAATAATTCTCGAAAAAATGTGATTACATTTTGGATATTAATTCAAATTTCATTTTGAACAAATTGACTTTGGAACAATTTGTTTATGGGATAAAAAGCAGTGATCCGGTCCAACCCACGGACACCGCCGCGCCTATCGCGTTATCACGGTCGGCGGCGAGGGTGCCGTGGAGGTGGTACCCGCTTATCAGGTCGGCCGTCAGTCGTCGTCGTCTTGTAAACAACGCGAGCTCGTACGAACGAACGATCGCAAATGAACGGGAAAATTCAGTAAAACGAGCGATGCGCATTGCCCTGCGCTACTGGCGATCACCGACGACGACGACCACATCACGTCCGCGGGCGACAACCACGAAGACGACGACGATTTGTTGTTGACCGCGTCCGCGACGGTGGCGGTCAATGTCAATGTGACCGGCGGCGGCGGTGGCAGCTGCGGTGTTGACGCCGACGACGTCGACATGGAGCTGACCAAAGTGTGCCGGCTGTGCCTGTCCGCGGTCGAGTGGCCCGTCAACGTTTTCGACGAACTGTCCGACAAGATAGCCCAATGCCTGCAGATCCATATATCCCGGACCGACCAGCTGCCCAAACACGTGTGCGTCAAGTGCAAAGACACCGTCAACGAGTTCTACGCGTACTACACCAACGCGGTCGAGTGCCAGAAACAGCTCGATCAGCTGGCGGACGTCCAGCACAACATGGTAAGCAGGCCGAAGCTCATCGGTGGCGCATCTCAGTCACTGCACCTCGGTGGTCTTGTAGATTTCCACCACGTAGACTCCAATCGCTTCGGTGTAGTAGTATTCTCTTACTGTGTCCACCACACACTCTCGTTTAGAGTTGCCCGGCTGTTCGTGGTCTTTTCTCTTCTTCGTCGTTCCACTCGAGTAGGTGAACGAGTAATTATTGTTTAGGCTGTTTCGTTTATCCCAATCTACCTATAGGATATTTAATAATTATTGAGTAGTTTTGTTTTTTTTTCTTTTAAAGGTGTGTCCGTTATCTAACAACGGTTGTCTCCAATGAATAGATAAAATAATTTATTTCATGAAAACAATTACATGATGATATTAGAAACAATTTTCTCGCATCAGTTCATTTACCGGAAAGGTTAATTAGATTTAGGTTAACATGTTTTTGAAAGTCATCTAAAAAAATATTAGGTAGATACCCTTAAATGAAATAGGTACATAAACAATGATAAACAAAATATAATTGTTAGTTGCATTATCAGTCTAATTATAAAGTTTTTATTATTATAATCTGGCACTAATTATTAGTTCTAATTGCCTCGTGGCTCCTATTAGTCATTTTATTAAGTATTTAATCAACAATTAATAAATATACTTAAATAATTATTGCGTAAATCAATTATCTAGCCTACTTTTTTTTACAAATCATTATAATATCATTATCTTATGTATACTTTTATAATTTGTCAGGTGTGAACTGTAAATAAATAAATATATAATTCTACAACTTAAATATGATTAGAATTCATTTATTACGGAGATGTTCCTCCCGTCCGTGTTCGGAATTAACTGACTGCGGCTTCAAATTATTTTTAATTCAAATAATTGCGGAACAAATATATTTTGTCTTCTAAATTCTTTTAGAAATACAATTATTCATATGAACCATTCTACCACAATAGAAATTATTTGATGGTCTAATGTGAAGAAAAAAAAAATGTAGTAAATCTCATATAGATATTTAAATGAATACACTTTGATGACAACTTAGGTATTTAATATTATGTACATTTTGATTGATTCATTAAAATGTCTTTAATCAACAGGCTTCCAGTAGTTTTGAACCGGTGGTGACCATTAATTATGACCAAAATACAGAATACAAATCTGAATACAACGAACCAGAGAGTTGGTCTGAAAGTAATCAATCGGAAATTGAAACAAAAGACGCTGTGAAAATAGATCCGTAAGTTCATATTACAATAATATGCTGCTTACTAAAATTATACATCATATCTTCAGGTTTATAGTTTATTTAGTTGTGACTTATCTCCAGATAATAATTTTAAATCTGAATTGAATAGAAGTTGCCCCTCTGATATACTATCTAATTAAATATTTACATTCATAACAAACAAATCTCAAAGCAAATACGCCTTTATCAATTATTGTCATTAATTTACACACTTATTGATTTAATAATTTATTATGTTTTACACAGCACTGATGAAATCGATGACCAAACATCAGATAGGACTAAGACACCTCGTAAGGTTAAAATAAAATTTTTCAAATGCAGAAAATGTGAAGAATCTTTTAATACCAAACACGCATTGAAAGATCATCAAAATGATGCACATCCGCACTCTGCATATAAGTGTAATTGTTGTGATAAAACATTTGACACAATGTGTGCTCGACAAAAACACAAAAAAGAAGAACATCCTAGTGTCACTTATTCGTGCGACACGTGTGACTATCGTACACCTTACAAGAGTCGAATGCAATATCATGAAAATAGACATAAAAAAGTGTACAGCGTGTTCTGTGATACGTGCCAGGCAGGCTTTTTCAACAAAGACGAGTTGGCTACGCATGAAATTAAAAACCATGGTGCCGAGCCATACCAGTGTGATCGTTGTAGTAAATTATGCACGTCCAAGACCAATTTGTACAGCCACATGAAAGTACATACCACATCGGCCGAATCAGTTAGCTACCAATGCGAAACCTGTGGAAAAGCTTTCAGGCGTATAGGCAGTTACAGACGACACATTCAGTCACATTTAGGTCTGAAATACGAATGTTCTTATTGTAACAAGCTACTGAGTTCAGCACACCATCTAAAACTTCATGTGCGCATACATACCGGTGAGAAAAATCACGTGTGTGAAATGTGCGGCAAAGCATTCACAGTTAGCAAGTACCTAGTCGAACATAAAAGAATACATACAGGTGAGCGGCCATTCAAATGTGACTTGTGCTCGAAAGGTTTTACTCAGAAGACGTCCCTGCGCATACACACCAGATGGCATACAGGAGACCGCCCTTATAAATGTGACGTATGCGATGATAGATTTGTAATCAACACATTTTTGCAGAGGCACATTAAGAAACACCATCCTGATCTTGTAGAACCTGTACAAGACCCGTGCGCCAACTCCCTTCAAACTTTATGAAATGTTATTTAAATAAGAAAATTATTTCACTTTTTTTTATGAAATTAATTTCTCTATTGTTAATACATATATAACTAATGTAATACACTACTTTTATAGCTTTACTTTAAATAAATTATATAAATACCAAAAAAAAAATGTCAAGTTAAATAATTGTAGTCTTGTAAACTTCATTATATTTTCAGCAATCTGTATAATACATTTTTTTTTTCTGTGGAAGTGCGCATACATAATTTAGAAGAGGCAAGAGAAATAACCACTTAGATTTCATCTTTCATTTGTTAAAATTACACCCAACACAAATAGACAAATAAACAAATTTATGCAATGTGAATCAATTATAATTTTTGTATGATTTATACCCAACAGCTAATTCTTAAGAAGAAATTATACCTGAACTCAGATACTATAGCCTACATTGGCTACTTTAACTACTTGTAATTCAATTTCCTATTAAGGGGACTTTACAGTGACATTTATTGTCTCTGTTTTCCGAGTGCGTAACATAGCAAATTTTAAGCTCAGAAAAATACGTTTATCTCCTGTTAGATTAAAAATTAGAGTGAATTGACCTCTTATAAAATTTAAAGGTAAGATTATTATCTAGACAATGACATAGGCTCTTTATTATATTTTAATATTAAAGCGAGTTATGAGTATTTTTAGATGTACAAACAGTTTACAATTTTAAAATACACATAACTCTCTTTAAAATTAAATTATAATAAAAAGTCTATGTCATTGTCTAGATAATAATCTTACCTTTAAATTTTATAAGAGGTCAATTCGCTCTAATTTTTAAACTAACAGGAGATAAGCTTGTTTTTCTGGCTTAAAATTTGCTATGTTACACAATTATAAGACAGAGGAAACAAATGTAACGGCCCCTTAAAACATAGAATTATTCATTTTCAAGTCGAATATAATAGAAAAACATTAAGATTATAAAAGTATGAATTAAGATAAAGGTTTCCTTAATAGTTCATGTGTTAATACTTAATGTCAACTTATTTATATACTAACACATTATCAGCAGTCGTAAGATGAATAATGTAACCTATAGTAAAATGCAATGGCCAATCCAAAAGCATTGATCTTTCTGAAAGTGATATTTTAGAAACATAAAGTTTAAGTTTTTACCGTTTAATGTAGCTTATTTGCAGCTATTTTAAGTTTTATATGCATAATATTACAATGTACAACCTTTTCAATAATATAACAAAATAATAATACTGTTTTTATAGTAAAAAATGAATTCATACAAATAACACATAGATTACTCCTTTTAAAATTTACATTATCGTATTTTAGTAAGGAATTTTCTCACAAAGGTACTAAAAAAATAATAAAGAATTACTAGAATGTAATAATAATAATAATATAAGTAACATCAACAGTAATGAGAATTAAGGACAAGACTTTCAAGATTAAATTTGGCTAGTCCTTTACCACAAAAAATATTCTTTTGTTTAGTTTGATAAACATAAGAAAAATCATAAAATAGCAATTATTTTTTTTACTGATTCTTATTTATTATTTAAAAATAACTTCATAGTCCTGAGGAATCAGCATCGTCGTCAGGTAATCCTGCAACAAGAATATAATAAACATATAGTTTAATATTTATATCATTATCTTGAAAAATAAGAATATATTATTCTTGATCCAAGAAATAAAACTAAGAATTGAAAAGTAATATAGACAAATGTACTACACACCTTGTTTCTTGTAGAACAAAATATATGCGTTACAATAATCTTCTTGTCCTGGTGTTGTTTTAATGGCTGTTTCATCATTGTAATAGTGCCAATCATCTGTATCCACGTGTTTAGTATAAGATGTATAGTGACCCATAGAAGTACCTAACATAACAGGAAAAAATTAATAGATATTGATGATTGGTATTAAAAAATTAATATAACATACTTCCAGTATGGCAAACGCAAGCATACAAATCATATACTATTTCTTCTTTTATATCCAATATCAATCCATCCAAAGGAAATACTACACTGTCTTGTAGTTTTATTCCCCAATTTTCATGGAAAACAAACCTGAAATTATGAATACCCATAAAATGTATTTCTTAAGTATTATAAAATAAGTATTTTACCTTTTTAAGTATACAATGAGACATCTAGGATACTTGGAAATGGACAATGTTTTAGTGGCGCGTTGATTCTTTTTGCAGGACGGACACCACCAAGGATTATTATCATCTAAAAGTTCACTGTAAAACAAGACCATTTTTTTTCATCAGTTTATAGAACCTATAGAATATAATATACATCAGAGGGAGTCAAACTTATTTTATATAAATATCTATTGAGAATATGTTCTTCTTTTGATGTATAAAAATACACATATTGTTTAGGGGGCTACTAAATATTTAATAATTACAATTTTAACAAGAGGGATCAACTGAAATCAACGCATGACCATTCCTGCATAGTATACAAATATAAATATTGGATACTAACACAATTTGTTATAAAATATTATACTTTTGAATCAATAATAATTAGTCAATAGATAATTTAAATAAACTCAAACTCTCAACTAACTAACGGTATTTGAAAACAGTTATAAAGTATTATGAAATAGGTTTAACTAGATCAAAACATAATTCTACCCTAAATAAATTCCTAAATTGTCTATAAAAAAGTATAATAAATTATTACCTTTGGCAAAAAGCATTAATGCAATCATATATTGATAGAGGTTTATTTGATCGCATTTGTTCGGTAGATCCTGGATGCAATTTAGTGTCTAACAAATAAACATCTACATAATCTATAAAGGTAACAGCCAGTGTATCACCGCTGCGAAACTTGATTACACCATTTTTGTTGGTAATCACACAGCCGCCACAATGTACATCCCACATGCATCTAGAGCACATGGTCCCTTGACCATCAACTAAAGATAGTGAGAAATCTTGAGTGTAAGGATGAAGTTTGGCAACTTCGACATAAAGTACTTCAGCAGGAACTTCACTTGGTAAACGAACCAATGCTGGTCGACCAATTAAACTTTTTCCGTCAGCTTGTTTAAACACGATTGGAATAGTCAATCGTCGTATAGCTTTATTTGTACTACCAGCAGGTTGTTCGATTGGAATTAAATCAACCTTAGGATCTATTCTTACTCTACAAACGGGACAGTCCATTTGATCTTTATCTCCACTAGAATGAAAACAACTCGATTTTATGCATTCTTCACACAACACACAAGTGCAATCTTTGATATCTTTGTGGAGTACCATATTAGGTTTATACTCCAAGCATATGGTACAAATGTCTCCTTGTTCAATTGTTACAGAATCTATATCCATTGGCTCCTAGAATAACATGGATATTTTTAAGAGATACATTACATAATACTGATTAGTATAATTTATTGAACGTAAACATTTTTAATGGAACATTTAAACAGTGTATTTGTATTTAGTTATTTTGAATTTAACTGGTTTGAGAACTCAATTACATGTATAATAAGTTGACAGTGTTTCAAGTATGATTTATTAGGTAATGAAGGTGTACTTCAATAATACATTTACAACTGCAAAAATATATTAAAAATTAAGTCAGGGCCAGCAGTTTATTTTTGATTGAATTTAAGGTGTGGTTGAGAAATCATGAAGTACAACAAAGGAGGGTACTGATTAGTAATAAAATTAAGATAATAAGGAAATAAATTCAGATTTAATAGGACAGAAGGCAGGAGAAATATGGAAGCATACCTTGGGCAACAGACACCTCAATTTACATAAATTAAGAGCATCCATCAAGAGCAATTTAGCATTATGATGTGTGGATATTAAATCCTCAACAATCTTAAAATAAGTATTAAAACAGTAAACACTCAATGAAGTCAGAATGTATATCAGATATAAATATTATATAATTCAATTAGTACAAAATATACTTGTTCAACGGTTGAATTATTCACCAATTAGAGGTACGATTTATATTTATTACTGACGGAAATCAACAGACCGCCACTACGAGAACATGAGCTAGTTTGCTGTGATCTGTTACAGTGAATTGATTTAAACCTAATTGTACATTACAAGTTCCAGGTTTAAATTAATTAGTCTATTATATTATTATAATATTATTATTACCTTGATTATAATATACCACAGTTTAAGATGGTAAAAAAAATATCCTATACCTAACTAAATATAATATATTATGTTATACCTGCAATATACAGAAATTAAAATGTTATAAACATTTTTATTTGTAAAATTAAAGGTCGTGCAAGACAAAATATAGTGATAATTTATCAGGGGGGTGTAGCCCCCCTTCAGTACTCAAGACAAAGAAATTATTTTACCTCTTGACATAGTCATAACATGGGTACTATAATATTGGCTATTTGATAAAAATAAATTGTTTATACAATAAAATTAACTTACGATTTGTGGGTCTCCTTCAGTTAATTCTTCGACATCCCCATTCACAAGGTCCAAATTAATTTCCAACACCTCAAATGCATACAAATCACGATTATTAGAGTCAACACTCCTCACTTGATGATCATCACTCTAGTTAAAAAAAAGTAATTAATAAATAATTTAAATCCTATAGGTACCTACATCACAAATTAAGGATTTTTGATAAACTTACTAATATTTTTGAAATATGTCTGTTAAAAACTTCGGCTACAACCAACATGTCAGGGTGTTTGTCTTCGCCTATCAAATTTACTAACTCGCTTTTAACCTTTTTAATATCATCCTGTTTGTTTACGGTAATCAGGTACTTCATTGGTGGATTATGTGTAGCACTAACAAATGTTATGTCTAATAAAAGAAAAAATAAACACTAATATTAACATTCCAATTGGCACGTTAATACCCATTTTTAGCTTACATATTTGTTGTTGAGTAGCATACGGTAAAGGTACAGACAGATACATGAAAGGTTCATGCATGACAGACACATAATTACATTCAAGACATGTTACCTACAAAAACAATGTTTAATTAATAAGTAGATAATTTTAATTTTTGCTTTATAATATAATTTGTTACTTACAGAACTTTCAAACTGTCCTTGAAATATTTTATTAATAATGGAATCTTGTTGTACGTGCTTCTCAAGAATATTAGATCCTATTGAATCAGCTTCTACAAGCTCTGTCTTAGGTATTTTATTATCATCTAATTTCACACGCTTCAAATCCATAAGTCTCGAATCAGATGAGGAATCACAACATATTTCCCTTTTTCCATTCAACAAATCATTAATTTGAACCTTGGTCTTGAGGAGCTCTGGCTCGCATGAAGATATGGTACCATCATCAATATTTGGTGACACAAGAACATCAGCGTCTGTATTATTCGCTTTCTGTGCCATGAAGTCTTGGTTCTCAGATATATTTTCTGTTAAAATGTCACTTAAAGTTTGAGGTAAATCAAATTCAGATGAACTAACAAACTCATCAACTTCACGTGGCAATAATTTTCTGGGATTTGGAGACTTACGAGTTTTGCGTGATGTTAGTTTGCAGTGTTTGGCAAAATGCATCAATAGTTCATCATTTAGGCTGTCTAATAAAAGAGCCAAGAATTCTTGACAATCATGCTGGCTGCAATCCCGGAACTGTGCATATCGTTTTCCCAACACATATTTGAACTGATGTGGATTAATAACACTGTACTGTCCATTCCAAACACGTTTAGCAAGATCAGAAAATTGTCCAATCAATGTGTCTTCAGATCCATCATCGTCAAAGTTCAAAAAATATGATACAAGACTCTCTGTTGATAAAAGAGCTTGTAAGCCTGCACTCATAAAACATGTATTACCGAGATTTCGAAGACCACAAACACCAATTTCAGCAGTTGAATCAGATAAATCACCATCAGCGGCAAAAATTGTGCTTAACCCTAATCCTGGTGTTTCAGCCCTGGGAACAGTTTGAATACTATTGAACTCATCAAAATCACTAGGACCTGGAAGTGGTATAGGAAAACTTGAGTTTGTTGAAGTTGGAAAACATGATGTTGAATCTTCATTCCTAAAAATCAGTAAAAAAATTCTTAGCACTCATCTTTGTCACTATCCAATACTATTGTATACCGTAAACAATGTAAAATTCTCAAAAACTAATTTTAATATGATCTTAATCTATAGTCATGTAATCAAAAATGCACTTGAATGATATTTTATAAACTAGTTTATAATTTTATATGTAAATCAACGTTAAAATCAAAATTTATCGGCACAACAAGAATTCATCGGTTATAAGCCTACTGGTAGAAATTATAACTTCAATATTGTGTGAAAAACAATATTGTTTGAAAAGCATAATGTTGAATCAACAGGTTCTTGACTACTCACCATGAACTGTCAATAGTCATCATCTGCGACGGTTCGTTGTTGCGCAGATAAGTGTCACTGTCCGTGATTTCAGACAGTTCGGGCAGTGTTTTTGGCAGTTCTTTGTCAAGGTTCTCGGCCAGGAAAGCCGAATCGCCAAAGCTCTCCTTGTCGTCTGCCCGCAAGTAATCGTACCGGTTACCGTGCAACGAACTCAGTATGGACGTGTCGACTTCCGAGGTTTCCATAAGTCGATCAGTGTGCGTCGGGTCTGGCACGAAAGATGTGTTTTTAAAAATCGCGACCTCCTTCTATTTGTGCTTTCGGAGACGTCGTCACGCGTCCCGGCCAGTCGCAAGTTCAGCTCTCTCGGGATATAATATAATATCGGATTCGGGTCGTCGTCCGTGATCCGTCCAGCAGAATACACAGAATCGGTGGTCGTTTCGTGCCGACAGCAGCTTATCGTCGTGCCGAACGGTTTGGGCAAGCTCCGGACGCGCTAGTATGTGACGGTCCGCGGAAGCACTGACCGACGGACTTACGCGGCTAAAACAATTTGACGTGCGATCTTACAAAACAGCGGAGACGTTTCGGAGGTCAGGCGGAACGCTCGATACCATTTCCGCCACGAACCGATTAACGCTAAAACGCGGAACGGAATTTGGAAATATCACGCAAATTATCTCACCGTGAGTTGATTGTTTATGACTCTGAACGTTGCGATTTCTGATTGTTCCGGTACGATTTACGGAGAATACTGAACGCTGAAAAGTGAATAATATCGGTGGTCGGTGATCGGAAGCTTGTTTTTTTTTTCCTATTTTTTCTTGGTTATGCGGTTTCAGAGCGGCAACACACCGGAACCGCGCATGGTATGGAGTATGGACCGTGTTCACGTTATCTATACTATAGGTATCCCAGATTGTGTCTGTTTAGTAGCTCTTGACGCGATCTAGTGGCCATATTAATAATCTGTGGAATAGTATTTTTAATTTTTAATAATAATAATATAAATTGTAACTTGATTTTCCAACACCAACATAATAATATGTGAGCCACGATTCTTATTATTTCACATTTTCACAAAACTTTTTTTGGTACTTCCGGGTTTATTAAATAACAAAGTATAGCCGTATATGGCATATGATAGGGGGAAGATTTGATGAGGTAAGTAAAGTTACCTTCATAATAAATGATAATAATATATTTAAAACCTCTTTTGGTGATAGCACCGTACTTATGTCTTATAGACCTAATAAATTTGAATATTATTTTGTTTTAATGTTTTGTTGATGTGATAATGTGATATTACCTTACTTAGTTACTTATTACTTATTAGCGTACGTGGTTACTGGTTATTACTTCAGTTATTTAGACAGTCTGTAATTAAAAATATATTTACAAGAATACTTCCACCTTCCACAGTCTTAGTCAAGTATGTAATGATTATATTTTATATTGATACATATTTCTATTAATCTAATATATCCAAGTCAATATATCATTGCTTAATGTTACGTCGTTTGTTTTATTGTTGTTCAAGAATTATTGTTTTGGTTAATTGCTATGGAGGCCCGGCATAGAAGAAACCAGTCAGTGAAATTGATCGATTTATCTAAAAAATATAATACATTAGGTACTGTTAAAAGCAGTACAAGTAATTTACCCAAGGATTCGTCTTCTTTGCCATTACGTCCCTATGGCATGCAGCCTGACTCAATAGAGTCAAACTCTAAAGTAAGACAATAGTTGCATCATGTAAATAAACACAAGTTAGTATACCATCCAGACACACTTTCTTGTTCTCAAAGGTGGGTACCATAAGCTATATTTCATAATATGTTTATAATTGTTTACTTATTATAGTATTTTATTAATATAATTTTATTTTTTTAGGTAGACATGATGATAGAGCAAATAATTAGATTTCTAGCAGGTGGTGTAAATGATGAAAATTTTTATACAAATAAAGGTGTTCAGAATATCTGGATAATATATGTAACGACAGATTTTATGAAGTAAGTAAACAGTTTTTTATCATATTATCTATAGTTGTACCAATGTTGTCATATATTCACTTGGGTGAAGGATGCAGATATATCTCCACCCATTGTCTCTTTATTTTTCATGTGTATTGGGACCATTTCTTGTGATAGTTATTTTTTATACATACATGTTGTCTGTATTATAGAATTATTGCTTTGATTGTAGGTAAATAAATTATAAAATTGATTTAAGGTTAAACATCAAATTTCAATCAATACTATGCTAGTTAATTATATTTCAAAAGTTCGGCCCACGTCAAGGTAATACAATTTCATACACCACTGCTTTACAGTACTCTGTCTGGCTTTGTATTTCTTCCCCTCCCTTAAATCAAAAAATAACTTGAACTAATTTAAGTTTATTTATTGATAATTAATTTTTAATTTTGTATTAAATAATTTTAATGTAACATAATTGTATACAACTTTTTATTAGTAATTGATTAGTTTCCATGTTTTTTTAATAAACTAATTATTATTTTTTTAGAAATTATGACGATAAATATTTATTTGAAAATGAAGATATCACTAAGTCATCCGTTGAATTTATTTCTACATATCCTGTTGAGATATCAAATTGTAATAGTGATGTTTTATTTATTGGAAATGAAAATAATTTTGATACCAAAAGTATATCAATCTTAATAAAGTAAGTGGTGTTGCTTATTTAACAATAACATTATGGGTATTCGTTTAGTATGTGACCTACCGGTCGCGTGACCTACCGTATAGTGTGATCGGTTTGTATGCGTGACCTACCGGTCCGATAATTAATTTAAAAACATTCAAATTAAAAATTATATAATTAGGCATTATTTTATTATTACAGATTACGGATTAAATTCAATATCAGTCAAAATTAATTTAAAAATTACAATTACAAGTTACAATTAAAAATTATATAATTAGGTTATTTCATTATTACAGAATACCTTTCAGTATAAAAAAAAATGCATAAAATTAAATTATGTTTGGCAATACACTTTTTGTACATCGCTTAAAAATTTTAAAAAAATTGTATCTCGCCTGTTGATAGATCGATACCATGCCTCAATTAAATGACGTGGCAACATTTCAGCTGATGTTCCATGCATTTTTCGAAGGATTTTAGTTTTTAATACTCCCCATGAACATTCAATTGCTTGTGTGTGAGCTCCAGTAGTTGGATCAACAACATTTTTTGAATGGTTTACTGTTCTATGATCATAGCCTATATTTTTTAAACAAGAATATGCTTTCCATTCATCTGACATTATAATAGAACCAGGTAATATTTCTTTTTCGATAATCGGAATTAAAGTTTCTCTATCACGTTTTTCTACAACAAAAAATCTTCGTTCCAAATTATCTCCGATTTTGCTACATAATCCGAATACCCAGGGTCCTTCTACTCTACGATCATAATTTCTGTTTGATGTAGGTGAATTAGCTAGGTTTATTTGATTTTCTTGATCACTGTCAGAATTGAAGTCTGCTGAGTTATCTTGTACTTGTTCATGACGCAGATCACCTAGCAGCAGTCTTCCTCGGTTATACTTTCTTCTTCCTCTCAATAACGATTCATCAATTTGTACCACTATATTTTGTCCTCCCATCTTTTCACGTTTTTCAAATAATGAACAACACACGTCTCTACACAAATTAAACCAGTCAACAATGGTTGCATTTGAACGGGCCGTCAAATCAGAAACAGTTTTTATGGGTAAATCTTGTGACCAATAATAAATAAGTTCTAGTATTTGGCCCAAACTGAGATTAGAATTGCATCGTGCATTAAGATCAGTGTATGTAAAAAATCCATTTGTTGATCGAATTGATTTATATGTCTGACCTATATGTCTAAACCAGTAAATATAATATAATATAACTATAATATAGATAATCGTCTAGGTAGGTCACACACTAAACCCAGTACTACAGGTAGGTCACATACTAAATTCGATTTTCAACCGGTAGGTCACATACTAAACGAATACCACATTATGTAATAGTTTTATTTAATTTTTTGTTATGTCATGTTAATTTACATACATTTATTTGATTCAATATGTATACAATATACATACACTATTGGTAATAATTAAATCGTATATTTTACAGTGCTAATGATGATTATGTATTTGAAAATAAGGAAAGTATTGAGGATCTACTGAATTTTTGCAATCCTCCATTTTCACCTACTCGTGTTACAATTTTTAACCATCATGAAAACCAGAAGAATATTGTTGTCAGTCCCACTACATATTTGTTGAAGTATGTACTTTAGATAAATATTTTGCAATTGTTTTTATTTATTATTTTAATTACAATTTAGATATAATAATGATAATATATTTTGTAATACTATTTATTTTTTAGTTCAGTCGAGAACACTTATTATGATATTGTGGCTAATGACTTAAATGCATTAAACAATATTTCTCCATCAGCAGTTATTTACACTGACCATGATAGTAATTATTATCCACATAAAAACGCAGAAAGTAGTCACAGTGAACAAAATAGACCTGTTTGTAAAAAGTTTGTACCATATTAACTATAATTTAGTAATTCTATAATAATGTATTCTTAAAAATATTATTTCTAATCACGGTTTTTTTTTTTACTATGTTATATAGTTTTACAGAAAGAGAAAATGAGGAGAACTCAAAAAAGTCGTCATTGAACCAGAGCAGTGGCGTGGTGAATGGGGTTTTATGATGTCTAGGCCTCATGGGGGATTTTTATTTTTAAGGGGTGGGGGTTGGGTTGTTGGGTACATTATGGTAATCAATAACATACAACATAAATTAAAATATTTTCAGTCACATAATAATTATATGTACTATATATTACTACTATAGGTAAATAGCTTATAAATTATTATTGCATCTATATTTTTGTTGATGTTTAGAACCTTAGTTAAAATTCATAACTTATATGCAGGGCTTGTAAGTTCATGCATTTTGTATATCAATCTTACTAAGGTGTATTTAATGCCACGCTATCTGTCGATACCTTATGATCCGGGCACAGAGGATTGCGGCTCTCAGAGTCACGAGGGCGTACCGCACAGTCTCGGCTGAGGCAGCCTTATTCCTGGTGGGAACTCCTCCGGGTGATCTTCTTGCTTTGGAACGCAAAAGAGTCCGAAGTAAACTTGACGATCTGGACAGAGCTGATTCAAAGGATGAGATCCGGAGAGCAGAGCGAGACATCTTGCTTGCTGCCTGGTCGAACAGATGGAGTCGGGGCGTTAGAAGAGCCTGGACGCGCACGATTCTTCCGGACCTGATAAGATGGACGAAAAGATGGCCCAAAGACCTCACGTTTCATGTAACGCAGGCTCTTACGGGACACGGGTGTTTCAGGTACTACCTACATAGGATGAAGCGCGCCCCTGATGCGGCTTGCCTGTACTGCCAACACCCTGAGGACACTGCGGAACACATGTTTGTTGGTAACCGAAATATAACCCCGGGAGACGTCCAGGATTTGCTGTGCGGCCCCACTGATGTCCCGTTCAGCGAGAACGACTGGCTACGAGCTGCCTCCCAACGTGCCACCCAGTCCTTTAATGACATGGTTAACAACATTTTAAGCTGCAAGGAGCATGATGAAAGGATAGCCGAGACCGAACGAAGAGCGAATGCAGTGTAAGCCGCTCCAATTGACTGACTTTATTATTTATTGTATCGCATTGTATTGCATTGTATTGTACCTATTGTATTAATGTTTATTTTCAAGGTGAAGCAACCATAATTAGTTATGTGTTAAGAATGTGCATGTATTAACGTTTCTCATTAAACATTAATAAACGATGGCAGCAGAGGAGTAGTAGTGTTCACACAGATCCTCCTTTGCTGTCGGTTCAAACGGAAAAAAAAAAAGGTGTATTTAATGCTAGATGAAATAGGAATTAATTTCAAGGTACGATGGTTAAGTATGTGAAGCTTAATAGGTTTATTCATAGGTATTCATAGGTTTTTCTATTTTTTAGGGCATATTACTCATATTTTTAATATTACTATATTGATATTATTATATTAACATAAATTTTTTTCTATTGAAATAATACGGAAAAATTAAAATTTAATGAAAAATGCAATAATTTATATTTTTTCACTATATTAAATGTATGAGAATTGTTGCTATGTTAAATTATTAAAAATATGAATAGATAATTCTTGCTATTTCAAAAATTGCATTTGATGTCTTCATTTTTTAATCCACTTATTTTTTAATGTATAGTTTTAGATTTTGAGTGCATATGAATGCATATTTCTGAACTTTTAAAGGATTATTTTGCTAGTTTTTAGCGCATAAGTGCATGCTTATTTAGTAATTTTTAGGGCTTCAACTTACAATTCCTGCTTATATGACACAATGTAAATATCAATATTTAATTTAAGCTAGGTACAAGTTAAAATTATAATAAAACTTGTGCCCAATAAGCCTATACTACATGCTTAACTATACACAAATACAAATTGTATTATTCCATTTAACACTGTCTTTATTTTTGTAGAATTGTATCATACCAATATACCATAGAACTTATATATTATACTCAGTATCTATAATACGGCCTATAATTGATAAATCATTTGTTCATTTACAGAAATCTTTGTGAACTGCAATGTAAATATTCTAATTTTCTATTTCTGTTATAGTTCGCATGACAAATATAACTACATAAACAGCAGGTCCACAAGTTTATAGACATTCTAATACATTCTCCCACCAGTGCCCCTAGACACGGTGTTTGAGAAGTTATATTTTTTTCTACCTAATTAAATTACAATATGACTTATTAAAAGTTACCTATGTAGGTACTTGTCCAAAACTCGACTACCGGGATTTAAATAAAAAAATGTGATTTAGGGAACATATTTTCTATTGATCTATTATAAAATAAAAACTTACCCTACCAATAATATCACTATACAAAATAATTAAAAGTGATAATTTGAAGACAATTTCTTAAAACCCCTAAAATATTTTTTAAATTATGAGTTATAATCCATATAGTGTAGCACCCACGCAATTTTTTTAATTTTTATTTTCGGAAACCTAGTTAAATCAACGTTTTAGAATGATGGAGCAAAAATAATTCTGACACCCACCCATGGTGGTTTTACATAACAAGTCGATGGATGTTTTTGATTATAATTGTCTGAGGGAGCGCAGCCGGGTACGCCGGGTATATATGAAAATACCCAAAATTTCAATTGGCTATAACTTTCAAATAAGTCTGATCACCAAATTCAGACTTCAATGTCATTTTCAATTAAAAACTAATGATTTTCGGCAATTAATTTTTGCAATATCGTTCTTAATTCGTTGTAACTTGTAGGTACTATCGCGATGGAGTGTTGACCGACGATTTAATTCAGTGGTTAAAACCGGTCTCTTTTTAGGGGTAGATGACGTTACCTCTGCAAACAAAAAGAGTGTTTCAATTTGAAGTTCTGCGTAGTAATTCACTTTGATCGGGAACAAGGAAATAATGTTAAAATTCATAGACGGGACAGCCAAATCTGACCTTGTTGGTATTTAGGTTTTAGAACTAAAATTTACTTTTGAAATTAAATATACTAATAAATTGTGCACGACAACATTTTTAGAAAAATTAAATAGTAAGTATGAAGTCACATGTAAGCCATGGTTATGTTCGAATAAATGGTTTGGACAGACAAAGAAATATTATTTTATCGGTCTTCAATGACTATGTAATGATTTTACAGCTAACGACAACTTCTTAGCTCTCGCCAACTTAGCCACACTGTGATAATTGGTCGCTCATCTGTAGTGGATAAGCCGAAATCTACCCCACCTCGCTGTCTGCAGATCAAGAACTATAAATTTGTCAATTCGAAAGAGATGTCTACTATATATTATTTACTGTATCCAATTACACGGTCTACATTTTATACTGGCAACTATAGATGCCTGTAAACAAAATGAAGACTTTTTTTTTCCATTTTAAACCGACGACACGACTCCGTTTGATCTGCTTATGCATTAATTTCGCGGTTTTAGGTATTACTAAAACGGATTCCTAGAATTTTACACACCCACTGAATCACGTATAGTGTTTAATATTATTACACATTAATAAAGAAGTGTTTATCGGAAGTCAAGTCGTTGCAAGTATGTGAGGTGCGCAAACAACAATGAACACTGTTGTAGCTGAATTGCCTATACAATGCGCCGCGTTACCTTAATTTTGTATTTCATTTTTTTTCAAATATATTAAATCTATATTATTGTCAGTGTTTATTCCCTCGGGGAAAAATGTATACCCCCCCGAAAAAATGTATGAAATTATTAGGTCAACTACATATTGTGATGCGATTATATGTGAAACGAGTTATCGGCCGAATGTGAGTTATTTTGTGCGTCGGTTGATAATAAAATAAAATAAATATTTAATCTAATAATTTGTTGGGTAGTACCTTTTCGTATATCAATAAATTGTACGTCAAGTGGTCAGTATAATCGATAAGGATATATTTAGATACCTTATCCGTTATCGCATGTAGATAATTTTTAAAACGTGCTGTCATTGCTGTCTTCTGTCGACTGTCAGTGTAGTGATTTACGCGTTTACGACTACGTCAAACTGCAGTTTGGTTGATTTGTTTTAGTTTGGTTTTGTTTTAGTGTTTTTTGGCCAGTAATTATGTCAAAACGTAAAAATAATCCTATATTAGATATGTTTCGAAAAAAACAAATGCGGCCAATGCGAGAACAAAAAGACGTTGATGACCCACCGGTTATACCTTCACCGGTTTCACCCACGAAATTTATTAAAACTTACTCTTATCAAAAAAATTGGGAAAAATCATTTAACTGGCTGTATTTTGTATTTATTTGTATGTATAGTAAATGTCTGTTATATTTTTTTTCATACAATTAATCAAAATTAGTTTTTTTTAAGAATTTATGTATTCGTAAGTATCCTTCTAAATTCTAATACCAATAAATTGAGCTTAAAACGATATTTTCACTTCCCTTAATTATTTACTTCTAAGGCATACCTCCTTGAAAATTTACGATACCCCCCCCCCCCCCGGGATAGAAGGTCTGAAATAAACACTGATTATTATAATATTATAATTTATGATTTACCGGAAAAATGATCAAAATGGCAGAAATAAATAACAGTAACGTCTTAACCGTGCTGAGTGTGCTGAGTCTAAATCAGGTAAACACATTTTAGATAACAAAAAAAAATACTTAGAAAAATGTATACAATAGGAACACACATTAAAGAGTTCAAAATAAAATGTACAGAATCTTAAACAGAAAAAACAATATTGCCAATGATTAGCTCATTAAAGAATGATAATACAGAGGGCACCTGCAGGTAATCAATAATCAAGTTTGTTCAAAAAATTCAACTAGAGTCAAATTCCTAAAAAAAAAATTGAAGGGGAGTGTTTGCGCCCGCAGGCAAATGCATTTTAGAAAACCAAAAAAAAAAATTAGACAAAATTATACAGTAGGAAAACACATTAAAGTGTTCAAACTAAAATGTCCAGAATCCAAAAGAGAAAAACAACTGACGATGACGATAATCAATAATAAAGTTTGTTCAAAAAATTCAACTAGAGTCAAATTCCTAAAAAAAAAGTTGAAGGGGAGTGTTGGCGCCCGCAGGCAAATGCATTTTAGAAAACCAAAAAAAAATTTAGACAAAATTTAACAGTAGGAAAATACATTAAAGAGTTCAAACTAAAATGTCCAGAATCCAAAACAGAAAAACAACTGACGATGACGATAATCAATAATCAAGTTTGTTCAAAAAATTCAACTAGAGTCAAATTCCTAAAAAAAAAATTGAAGGGGAGTGTTGGCGCCCGCGGGCAAATGCATTTTAGAAAACCAAAAAAAAATTTAGACAAAATTATACAGTAGGAAAATACATTAAAGAGTTCAAACTAAAATGTCCAGAATCCAAAACAGAAAAACAACTGACGATGACGATAATCAATAATAAAGTTTGTTCAAAAAATTCAACTAGAGTCAAATTCCTAAAAAAAAAATTGAAGGGGAGTGTTGGCGCCCGCAGCCAAATGCATTTGAGAAAACCAAAAAAAAATTTAGACAAAATTTTACAGTAGGAAAACACATTAAAGAGTTCAAACTAAAATGTCCAGAATCCAAAACAGAAAAACAACTGACGATGACGATAATCAATAATAAAGTTTGTTCAAAAAATTCAACTAGAGTCAAATTCCTAAAAAAAAAATTGAAGGGGAGTGTTGGCGCCCGCGGGCAAATGCATTTTAGAAAACCAAAAAAAAATTTTGAAAAAATATACAGTTGGAGAACACATTAAAGAGTTCAAAATAAAATGTCCAGAATCCAAAACCGAAAAAACAATATTGCCAATGATTAACTCAATAAAGAATGATGATACAGAGGGCACCTGCTTGTTAACAATATTCAAGTCTATACAAAAAATTCAACTAGAGTCAAATTCCTAAAAAAAAAATTGAAGGGGAGTGTTGGCGCCCGCAGGCAATTGCATTTTAGAAAACCAAAAAAAATTTAGAAAAAATTATACAATCAGAACACATATCAACGATTATACAGCTCGTTTAAAAACGTCTGTACAAAAAGATCTACTAGAGTAAAATGAATCGGAAAAA